ATTGAGGTTTCCTGCTCGCTTGAAGTATTGGAATGATAATGTATTCGAATTAGCTGGAGGTAAAGCTAATTAAGAGTAATTTAAAAGTAAATCACTAATTTTTATCTGTGGACTGGGAGTATTTAGACAGACAGCAACCTCAGACGGCAAGGTTGTAAGATGACAACCAGGAAGACTGCGAGAGTGTATTTAGGAGAACTGTGGCTGCTTAACAACTGAAGGAGCAAATGTGCATTCAGATTTTCCTGCACTTTTATGCTCTCCATGGTTTCAGAAACAGAACAGGATGGCAAAAAAATAACCCAAACAAATTATAACTGATGTCCATTCAGGCTAGCCTGTAAATGCTTTACCTAGCCTTGCATGCTGGTGCTTGGGGGATTTGATCTTCTTAACAAGTATAACTGTATAAGCAGTTGATTATTATATATCTGTCTGGAGGGAAGCAGTGCAAAGGTGACCATGTTTGCACAAGCCTTGTGCAGGCTTTGGGACCTGCCTCCTCTCCCAGTCCCCTTGGCCACACTTCGGGTCCAGCTGCCTGTAGAAGGTGCCAGGACAATGTTTTGTCACTGGACATGGGTGGCTGAAGTCTTGAACACCACTGCTGGCAGAAGTGCCACTTAATTTGGGTTCTTGGGTTTGGCAGATTTGGGTACAGGAGGAAAGATGAGGACAAAGAGGGAAATGGTTCCTTTTGCCGCAGGGGGAAGAAACCTTGTGGCTGAATGAATCTTCTGGACTTTGCTCCAGAGATGCTAGCMCTGATGAGAACTGTAGGAAGGCAAATATGAGCTTTAATTCTTGGCTCTGAAGAAAAAAGAATGTCTTTCTTCCATTTCATGTTATGCCTAAAGCAGAGGGGCTGTGGGGTCCAGTGACAGGTCCAGACAGTCTGCTGATGACGACATGTTCAGCCTGTAATGCAGAGGAGCTTGCAGAGGAACAGCAATAACATCTCTGGGGAGACTTGTTGAGGAACCTACCTCCTGGTAGCTGGCAGGGGAGACAAGCCCGGATCTGCTACAGTTGGTTTAGGAAAGCAACCACACAGAGGGCACACAAGGCTTGTTGTATAGTGTATTCACATAAATGAATGTGCATATGGGAAGGGGTTTAGGGTGCTTGCTTAGGAGTGAGAAAATAAGCAATCCTTAGGGCTCTGGAGAGCCCAGAGAGACAGTGGTATCTCAGTGTGGGACATACTCAAACCTTGCCTTGACACAACCTTGAGCAACTTTGGCTTAGTCCTGCTTTGAGCTGGGAAGTGGGCTAGATACCTTAAGGCATCCCTGATCACCCCAGGCCCTGTCATGAGCCCACAGTTTTTGTCCATTGCCAGCAGAGGCAGGATTTGAACCAGCAGCTCGCGTATGGGCTCTCAGGGCCGAAGACCAGCCTTATTTTCCAAACCAATTTTGTAACTTTTGGGAAGAAGTCAAAACACTTGTCAGCCAACTGACACTAACTGAAAGGCCCTCGGTGAAGACACTCTTAACAGCTTCCCCATTGGCCCTTGTTGGTATTGGAGGATAACCACTTAATGCAGCACTTTTGGAGCTGGCCCAAACCACAGCAAAGTGCAGGTTTTGTTTTAGTGCTGCACCAGGACTGCCTAGTTCTTCTTCATATGTTTGATAATTCAGAAGAACCAGGGACAGGTAGCCAATGTCCTATGTTTACTGACTCCAGAGGAGATCCCTAAATGCCGGCCAGAAGTTAGCGTACTGCAGCTACTCAATGTAATGAACTAAAGGGTGACTTGGGAAATAGCAGGCTGCAGCTGAAGGACACGTGAAAGAGAGTTGCTCCAGAGCAGCAATAAGATTTTGGGACCCACTTAACCAAGGTCAAGCTACTTGGCAGCACAGTCACATAGCAGAGCTCTGGGTGGTATGGGAGCAGGCAGAGACGCCAGCATTCCAGTTCCAAAGCCCTGCTCCTGGGCTTTGCAGAAGACAGAGACCACGCCAGCCTCACCTGTGTCTGCCAAGAGGGACGTGGAAGCATCCTGCTTAGCTGTGTGGGTATTGATTAGTTCTCACTATAAGGAAAAGTTACTGCATAACCCAGGAGGCAAGGTACAATGCTGAGGGGGTCCCTCGCAGTCCTCTGTGATATACCTTAGAAGTATATGAAAATAGAACAAGGCTATGAACAGGCAAGGGAACTCCTTATATGAGTATCACTTCTTTCATTAAAAACCCACATATATTTTTATTCTCATCGAGCAGATTTTTGCATCTGTGTTTTAGGAGGCCAACCCCTTCTGCTGGATCCAAGAGGCTGCACATGAGCAGCTGCAGCAGGGCAGAGGGCAGAATGTCCACCTGTAAACTTCTCCTCCTTTGCTGCACGTGTCCCTCACAAGGACATGTGGGGCCTGGGGGTTGTGGCAGGTGCTCACTCTGTTGTCCCTGCACCCTGAATTGTCTGCAGTGAGACTGATGCCAGAGCTTGGGAAGATGTGGCTGGTAGAGGTGCCTGCAGAAATAGGACCTAGGCACAGACATGAGCATTTTGAGGTTTCAGGCACCTGGGAAGAGCTGGTCTAAGTGACAAAGTAGACAGTGCTTGGTAGAATTGAAGCATGCTTTACTCTGGCTTTTCTTCCCTTTGAGTGCCCAATTTGCAGCCTGTTTCCACATAGTTCTCTCATGGGTTAGAGTCCCCTGATTCCCAAGTTTAAACCATACGGCAGTATAGGTTGGATTTTTTTAATTTCCTGCGTTTGGAAGGTTAAAAACAAATGTGGGTGGAAATAGTCTTCTCCATTCCTCCTCAGCACAAATAAAAGTTTCCATTTTTCCTTTCCCTCCATGAAGGTATCAACAGTTGGACATGAACATGTCTATGATGCTCACTAAGCAGAACACCATCACTAGAGCCCCACAGACAATGTGACTGGCTRATGTTGCTCTTCAGTTGAGAGTTGCTGCTGCTGCTGTTCCCATTGCAGAGAGCCCTGTCCTCCTGGCACAGCCCAGTTGGCCTCTCCTTGTCAGCAGAACCTGGGGCTCAAGCTGCACAGTCTGAGTGGACCTCTTACCAGCCGAGTCCCAGAAACCCACTGCTTCAGCCTGAGAAGCAGAAATGAGTTTGGGGACTTCATGGCCCTGCCCTAATTCTTCCACAAAATCTAAACRTTTAGGAAACATCCAGGCCAAAAATAGCTTTATCTGTCCCAGTCACCAAATTGTGACCTTCACCCCAGAGCTGCTGGGTGGTTGTGTTCCCACTTAGCACACACTATCACACCAAATGCAGGGCAGGGGTATGGCACTTGTGAAGATCAGAGGTGGGAACATTACACTGGAGATTCAGGGGTTCTCAGAATAGCTTATCATTTGGATAGTAAAATCATAAAAATCTTTAAGATAAGCTATTCAGCTGGCACATTTAATGGTATATGCATATAATTGTTTTCATACTAATTGATGACATTATTAACAGTTACAGTTACTACTATAACTGCTCTGGTTAAAAAGATGGTTAAAGGAAGAACTAGTTAAAAAAAAAAGCATATTTTGATTAAAAAGAAAAAGAAAATAAATTTCTGGCCCCAAAGCATTTCCCACTAAAACCTGAATCCCTCCAGCATGGTGCTGCAAGCCTTCATCAGTCCAGGTCATACCCCAAACACACCAATGCTGGACAGCAGCAGTGCTGGTCCCGYTTCGCCCCAAGTAGCACCGCTCCTTGCTGTCCAGCCCTGATCTCAGGGGCACCGACGGCAGCACCACCTGCCTGGCTGAGGGCTTCGCTCATGACAAACTCCAGAAAGAGAAGGTCCCCAAGTCGATGTGCTGATTGTGCCCGACGCAGCTGCTTTTGCAGCGTTTCCTAAAGCCCCACTGGGCTTTTCTTGCATCTCTCCAGCAAGTAGCTCTTGAATCCTGGGTGGCCTCTGTCCAAAATATGGCCTCAGGCTTCTCTGAACCACTGCATCCTTCCTGGCTGAGCTGAGCAGTGCAGAGCTCTGCAGTGTAATTGCACTGGCCCTTCCATCTGCATTAGCAAAGCTGCTCGCATATATCAGATGTGCCCTAGGCATATCTGTCAAATAAGAATGGAGGCAGGGGACTATTTTAGACTCCTAGATCACCTCTGGTTTCCTAMTAAAACTGAACAAAAGTTTTCATTAAAACCTAGGTAACAGAAAAGTGGATGTGGGTCAGTGCCCAGACTTKCAGGAGAAGTGAATTGGTGCAGACTTGTTTTTCCAGACATCCTTCCTACATTCAGGCAGTATGTTAAGATTGTTCCCAAGGTCCTGCCCTCTTACCAGACTCATGAAATGCTTTACCGAGGGAGCGACTTAGGCACAGTGTCATGCTTAACCAGCTTGGGTTTTCAGAGAGGCCATATCCCTATACATCTGGGTGCCTTGCAGCATGCATTTGCCTCTAAAAATTAGGCAACAGACAGAGAAAGGAGATGTGAAACTGCAAGTGCCTGTGGAAGTGCCCATTGGATCACACAGCAGCATGGGGAAAGTAGTGTATCTTTGGCCCAAACATAGGTTTGAAGGAGAGTTTGGGTGATCAGTTGCATACCAAAAGGTCTTTGATCCAGAGCACCCATGCAAGATGCTGCTGTGCTTCTGACTGCTAAAAATACATCTTGCTTTGCTTCTGTGTTCAGACATGAGGTGTCTTGCTGAGCAAAGAGTCTCCATGGGACTACATAGCCCCTCTCACACACCAGCCCCCATCAGCACAAATGGCCTTTGACTGGGAGAAAAGTGTTTGTACTTGCAGGTTGTTTTGCTTGTGGGGTTACTATGGACCCGAGCAAATCTTTAGGGTGCTCTGTTGCCTCTCACATCCCTCCTCTGTCTATTTTCTGCACTTGGAGCAGTTCTCAGCTGCACTCAGCTCAGTAAACCCTTTCTGCATCTTTCTGCACTCAGGGTTCAGGCCATCTGACCCAGCGCAGGGCTCGCATGTGGGCAGCTCAAAACCATGGGATGTTCCCAGTGACCAGCCAGAGCCCTCCAGAGTGAGGACAGGAGTCCCTGCGAGGACACACACCCTATAGCAGCCATGGACTCAAACAAACAAGAAGGTAAAGCCTCATCTTATTTCACTTGCTGGTGGTAAGAAATATAGGGAGGAAGAGAGCCACCCTCGAGTGACCTGTCGGCCACATAAGAGCACCTCTGAGCTATGGCAGAACCAGCTGGGCTTTGCAAATGTTCCCTTCCTTTAGTTTAGTAGAGACATTTGGGATTTTAGGTTTTTACTTCTATCAAAAAAGAAACACCTCTCTTTTCCCCTGTGGAAAATAAACCTGTACGGCATATAATGTGCCAGATGGGAAATCATTCTCCCTCTCTTGCCTTGGACCCAGCTCTTCTTTGGGATCTACAGACTTCACGTGGTCAAAAATAACATCTTACAGAAAGACCTGGTGAAGATCTGCCTCTCTCCCACATGCACCATCACAAGAGGTTATGGTGCTCATGTCAATACCCCAGTCAAGACCACTACTACAGCCAGCAAGTACTTCCACCAAGTCGAGTTGCTCCTGAAGCTGTGAAGAGCAGGGCCAGTCTTCACCATTGCCCATGATTATCAGCTCAACAGAAACCCTTCCTGTTTGGACTCTCCCCTCTTAAAAGGTGCTCAGTGGTGCCAGTGATCAGCCACAGCGCAGGAACCCAAGGAGTTAATTTCTATATTACTATTATTCTAATTTGACTAAATGTAGTCTAAGTATCTAGGCCCCTGCACAACAGCAGGCTGAGAAGGAAATTAACTTAAGGATTTTTTCCAATTAATTGGTATGCCCCCATGGGCTGCAGATGCTCACTGCAGAAATTGGAAGGTAACCATGAAGCCCTTACTTCCCCCCATGCAGCTCAGCAGCGACTTTACAAAACTGATTGGGGTTTTGGCCAGGATCACACAGGCTTCAGAGGGTGCATCTGCTCACATGTGCAGGAATGGGAGGTAAAATCAAAGTAGCAGAGATCCTCTCTCCTCTTCTACCCTTTCTCAGAGGCCCTCTGCATTACAGATCACTTTGAAAAAACATCCAAAATAGATGTGAGGAGACCACAGCCCTTCCTCACTCTGTCTTGCTTCTGCCTGACAAATCCTGCACTTCCTAGAGCTCAGCATCTGACACCTTTAGCATCTGCAAAAACACTCTCTCCCTGTCTTCCCAGTATCTGTTTTGTATTGTGCTATTAACTGAGAAATGTGTCCTCTTGCTCTTTTTGGGTCAGTCATTGCCATCCCACAGTAAAAGCAATTTACATGAGAGCAGACACACACCTCAAGGATTCTTCTTGATTTCAGAAGATCTCTCTAGACTCGCTGTTTTCTCAAACCTCGGGTCTAGGAAACAAGCAATTTYCATTGGCCAGGTCAAAAAGCCAGTTGTCAGTCTGTGGGGCTGCAGAAAAAAAAATGTAGGGCCAAAACCTGAAAATAAAAACAAGTTGATATTTAAAAAATGCATGGTGGCCACTGGGGAGGGTTGGCTGATGAATTTCAAGCCCTAGTGGCTGGCAATGCTGGTCACTCAGTCTCCCCTCTTCTGCCTCTGTTTCTAGGAGTCGCTAGGGAATTCACTCCTATTCCTCCGAACCAGGGCAAATCCTAGAGACCAGAACAGGGCCAAGTTGTAGGTGTCCTTGGCAGTAACCCATATTGCCCTTCCAGGGCAGAGTAATCAGCACAAAGCTGTGCTTTGCAAAGCCCAGACTCCCAAACTTCATCTTTCCACTGGTTTAACTGGAGCAAAGTCCTCCCTAAGCCCTTCTCAGACCTCTGCGGGTCTGAATTTCTGTGCTCTTGAAGGTAAGGCACTGACGCAACGAGTGGAGGAGTAAAGCAAATTCCTGGAGGCAGCAAAAATACCATGTTGTGAAGGGACATTGTGATGGGGAGCTCATATAGATGAGGAAATGGGTGGCATGKTGCTTCCTGCGAGACAGAGGCCAGGTAAGGAGCCTCCTGTAGAGAAAAACATGGATAATATTTTATCAATGGTAACTAAGCTGCAATTGCCTTCAGGTGCCAGGGAGCACCCTCAGTGACAAGTTTCTGGTGGATAATCAAAGGTTTCTGCACAAATCAGACCATGTTAGAAGAGGAAAGAGCAAACATAAGACATTTATTTTTTCTCCACCAAAAACCCAATAATACCTTGAGAAGATGTCTCTGCAGTGTTCAAATTATTTGTGCCAAACAGATCAAAGCTGCTCCGTGAGTGAACTCTGTTTTGGAAAACTTATCTCCATTATATGATATCCTGTGGGATCACAATGCCACAAAACAAACAATCAAACAACCAAAACAAAAAGACCAACAGGAAATTAAACTCATGAAAAGGTGCATTTTTTTGTGTTCCAAAACAGATGAATGCTGCTTGGGACCTGTTGTGACAAAATAAAACACTGGATTTAAAATACGCTGACTGGATCAGCCAGATATAAGGATGATGCAAGTATGTATAAGAGGATTAAAAAAAAAATCATATTTTTATACGAGAGACTAAACTGTAGTGCTTCAGAGTAAAAAGATGTAACTAAAAGCTGGMACATGGAAATGAACTACTCGGGGTGGAAATTTGTTCACAATTGTGCATATAGGATTTCTTTTCTCTTCATATAGATCGGCTTTGGCCAGGAASAAGGCAGCAAATGAGGTGAACATAAGGTTAGACTTAGCTGAGGCACTCCTGTTTTATAACTGCAATTACTGTACAACTATATGGGGTCTACATCTCCTAAATTGAGACTCAAAGCCATTAGAAATGATTTGTACTTTGAGAGAGACTTCAAATCCTCTGTTGCAGTTATTTATAGAAACTCTAATAAGTCATTTTAATTGACTGAAGTTCTTTATTCCCACAGGAGAGACTGAAAGTGTGCCTGTGAGTAACCCCGCAACACAGATTTCCCAGGTAAAAATGAGCAAAATGCCCTGAATAACTCCATGAGTTTGAAGAGTTACTCATAGATAACCAGTAGTTAGAAAGCTAATCCTACAGGGAAAAAAAAAAAAAAAAAAAAAAAAGAATGTAGGCACTTAAAAGGAACATGGTAACCAAAATGTGCACATGCCATGTATAAATGTCATATACATCATCTCTTGGGCCTCATCTTAAAAGACATTCCAGTAAAACTTGTTGTATTTAGACAGGTGATCTATCTGCTCTGCTAAGTAGCTGGCATCATTAGCACTAATTAGAAACCATTAATTTATTAGGCTGGAGGGAGATTACATGGAAGGCCTTTAAGAAGCTTTAAAAAAAATTAAAAAAAAAAAAAAAAAAAAAAAAAGAATTGCTGTCTGACCTGAGGGGATCTTTTCCAGCAGACAGCAAGTCTTCAGGATTGGCTGGAGTTATCCTGATAGTTCCTGGGAAGCTGCTGCCTGTTACTCAGGTGCCACCGGGCAGGCCAGAGCTTTGAGTCTTGCTGCATGGCTCTTCCTGGCTCCTCAGCTAGGAGGTTGGAAACCCTGAGCTTGATCCCCCATGAGACYCAAGGTCCTCAGAACTTCTGGGGCTCGGTGCAGATTCTTTGATGTGACGTTTGTGCTGCAATTAGTCACCATGAATGTAAAAGATTGTCTATGTCACAGCCCAAGGAGACTCCTTCTTGCGAGATGCAGAGTCTCATTGTCTCCATGATGCTGTTTCCTGGGCATYTGCAGACTGCAGGCAGCTCTTCCAGGACTTTGGAACACTTTAAACCTTGGTCCAGCTCGATGTGGAGCTGCACTCCCAAAGTTATTTCCCTAACTGAAAAGCTTGGCTGAGACCACTCTGGGCACCATTGCAACACTAATGTCCAYAACTGCTTGCACGTGCAACATGTGAAGTGGTTGCAGAGTTATTGGATGCCTCTCACCCACAACATAGAATATAAAGCATTGCATTACCAAGATAGTTTCCCTTGTCTTGTCCTCTTTTCCCATCCATACAGCTCTGAGTGGGAGCTGCAACTGGGTCACTGAAGAGGCCAGTACAGTAGGTTCAAAGTGCCTGAAAAGCTCACAGGCTGTAGGGACAGTGAGCTGGGAAACCTTCCCCTCCGCAGTGCTGAGAACACTCTGCTCACATATTGCTTTCCAGACATAAATAAATAAATAAATAAATAAATAAATAAATAAATAAGAGAGGCGGATGCCCTAAAGAATCCTTTCAATTCAATTTACCAGCTCAGTGTTCCCTTCTACATTGGCAAGGCCCTAGGGACAATGAAGTTATGAAAAAAGACCTTGGAAATGTGAAACAAGTGAAAAAGTGAACGTGCTTGCAGTTCTATTTAAATATCTCCACCTTTCTCCTTTGTCCTTACCCTGCTGCTCTTTCTTTATTCCCACTGTCCTTGCTTGATTTTAGAAGTGTTCCCTTTAAACATAAGTGTTAAACATAAACATAAGCAAAAGAGTTTTCAGCGCGTTGGACTTTGCTCCAGTTCCACCTGGGGCTGCACTCAGAAAGCACTGCTTCCCCCAGCTGGAAATCCTGGCCATGTGAAACCACCCTGGGCACCACTTCTTCAAGGCCATAGGAGGTTTGGCTATTTACAGGATATATTTATAATGAAAGGGTGATTTATCTGCAGTATTTGTTCATCACAGGCAGCAGGTGCAGAATAGCTGATCTTTTTTCGGAGGTGCAGAGCCCTACATGGCCTGACTGGCTGGTGCTGGGGCAGGTATGTGGTGACAGAGTTCCTTGTGGCACCAAGGTTCCTCCTCAACTTCCTGTAAACCCAACTTGCAAAGCTCTCCTCTCTGCTTTCCATCCTTGCCCCATCCTTCTGCAACCTATTCCCATCTCCTGGCTATGACCCTCTTCCTTGGATTGCCTTGAAATCTCAGAGCAGCTTTTGACACCAGGGACAGTCATGACATTAAGTCAAAACCCACCATGCAACAAAGTCTAACCCAGCTTTAGGTCTATAGGCTGTCCATCCCAGCTGAGATCATCTGTCTCAGAGGGGGAAGCTCTGCAGTTTTGCTGCCTCCTGCCCATCTTTTGGGTGCAACATGGCAAGYGAGACAGGAGTAGACGTTCAGCACAGGAGATTTCATACCTGTTATCACTCCACTCTTATAAACCAAATTCAAAACCATGCTGAGATGTTCTTCTTGCAAGTCCATGCCAAGGCTGGGCATGGTCATCCCCTCTAGCCATTATTTCTTTCACACACAGTTCACTCTTCCATGTTGGGAAATGTTTGTTCCTCTTTCCAGGTGGACTTCTACACAGAATTGATGTTCTCATTGAGCAGAGGACAAGTTAGAGTTACAGGCAACTGCTTCTCATTGTCCTCTTGATCAGAGATATGCAAAGAAGGGAGGAGAATCTCTCTAATGAGAAACTAGATGGGAATCTCTCTTCTCCAATGAGAAACTAGATGGGAATCTAATATAATCGAATGGGAAAAACCTGTTACAGATGCATGGTACTGGTTTCTACACTGCAGTGCTGTCAGCTTTGAGGACCACACTGCAAAGACAATTGGGTACAGAAATGTAGATAAATGTTATTTTCCCTCTTCTCTTCTCTTCTCTTCTCTTCTCTTCTCTTCTCTTCTCTTCTCTTCTCTTCTCTTCTCTTCTCTTCTCTTCTCTTCTCTTCTCTTTTTTCAAACAGGTCTTTCCCAATTCTTGGACAAATTCTAAGGATTCTTTCTGACCATGAAGATCCATTTACCTTCAAGACATTAGCTATTTCAAATTAATTTATTAAAGTACCTCCCTCTTCAGCTGTATTTGTTCTCATGAATAGGTGAGGGAAGACAACACATTACAGCTAAACTGTTGCCAAGTTTCCATGGCAGTATGAAATTTGTCTTTTTTGGTCCATGTTGCATGACTTTCMAGGGGTCCACAGAAGAGAGGGGTTCTCTCTTCAGGCCCACAGACTTAAATAGGCACAYGGCCATGACATAAACATGAGCCAACACTTTTGGCCAAGAAGCCAAGTTTCTTGGCCAGTTTGGCCTAGAAAAGCCAAGGCTTTTCTTCATGGTAGAAACCCAAAGGATTTAAAGGATTTTTTTTTCCAGTTTGTTAGAAATGAGCTCAAACTAAAACCCAGTGCTCTAGGACTATACCATGCTTGGCAGGAGTTTGAAGAAGAAGTGTTGCTTTTAAACCATTCCATTTGACTGGAGTCAGGCCTTCATCGACTGCCACAAGTGTATTTATGCTTTCTTTCTGTGCTGTTAGCAATGACGGCAGCTGAGAAGGAAATTCTGGCAGCATCCAAGTCTTCGGGTTTCAGCATTTCATGTCTGGCTGTACAAATCCTGGCAGATGCGGCTAACTAGGGTCACTGTTACTGTCATTAACCAAATGACAACACAGGAAACGAGGGTAGAAGATGTATTTCAGTGCCTGAAACATCCACTGCAAGCTCCAGCTGCATGCTGGGCACAACAGACTTAGGCTGGGATGTACAAAGTTGTCCTGAGGAGTACACAGAGGAACTAAACTAGCGCAGTGACTGGCAAAGCTGAGATTGGCCAACAGTGACCCTGTAATAACAAGTGACCGTGTGCTTTTAGAAGCATTTGTTGAGATATAGAAGATACTTTAGTCCAGTCTCTAATCCAAATCTTTCCTCCAGTTGCCCAAACTCTGTTTTCAAGGAGAGTTTCAGTACACATGGACAGTGAATTCTCTGAGCACAAGAGCACTTTTTTTTTCCAACTTTGATGATGCCTAGCAATTTGGGGCTCTAAAACCTCAAGGTCAGCATTGCTTCCTATCCCTGTTTACTATCCTAGTTTACTGCTGGAAATATCTGAGTAGAATATAGCCAGGTTTGTTGGTGGGGGGCATTTCAGTTCTCCCAGATACAGACACTTCCAGATTGCCTCCCCTAATAGCGGGGTTTAAGGGCTGTGACACCTCCACTCTGAAGCAGATCTCTAAAATGAGACAGAAGCACCACAACTTTTCACTTAGAGGAAAGTTCAGGATACCCAGACCTGATATTAAGTAAATTAGCTATACTGTGTAAGGCATTGGCAAGCATCAGCAAGGAAGCATGGGAATATTAATGTTTTGCATAGTTGCAGGACTTACTGTCCCCTCATTTTTCTAAGCTTGTCCATTAGGAGGTCTGATGATGCCAGGACCACGTGGTTCACCACTCCAGGCTTTGATAAATTGGCAAAGGTATCAGCTGTGGTGTGTGCATTGCCTGCTGTAGCAACACAACTCCAGCAATTGCTCAGAGCACAGTTCCTGAGCAGCCCTTCTACCCCTCTAACTACCCTCACGGCTGCATGTGCTGTGGTCCCAGCACTGCCATGAGATCCCTGCGTGCTCCCATAGCTGGAGAAGCCAAGGTTTTTCTACCCCAGTGTGCCTCCAGTCCTCTCTTGCTGGATGCCTGTCCTTATCAGAGACGGAGGAGGTTAGGGAGCCTTTCTCAGCTCTGGAAACGTGTGTGCAGCCACACCAGACTGGGGGACTGTGGGGCAAGCAATGGGGCAGGAGTGGGGATGTCAGGCGGCCGTCCCCAGCAGCGGTGACTGAGGCTGTCTTGACCAGAGGAGAAGGGTATGTGCCATTGCCCTGAGGTATCGGAAGCCATCTCTGCTCCATTTACAGGACTCAAGCGCCTGAGTTCCCCGGGGTGGCTGTCCTCTTACCATCAGTGCTCCAGTTTTGGACTCAGTTTATAACCAGATGTTAGGCCGAATTTCTGTTGTAAAGGTAAAAAAAAACACTGATACCGAAGTGCCTTGGGCCGCGACCTAGCTGTGGGCTTGTGCAGGCAGAACGAGAGCCTTCCTGGAAGCAGCGGGTGCTGAGTTTGGGGGCAGCAGCCCGAGCTCCTCCCAAAGAGGGTATCCCCACTCAGCCCTCCACAGGCTGCCTCTTTCCCTAGCACCCACCTCCAAACCTGCCTTGTCCACTTGCTCTGCCAGCCTGGGTCATCCTGCTCTGCCTCCTGCTTCACCGAGCTATCAACTGGCTGCCTCCAGCTCAGRTTGCCAGCTCCTCCGGCAGGGCTAGGGCCTCTAGGGATACAAGAACGTCCTCTCCTCCCTGCTGGAGCAGGGCGTTGGACTAGATGATCTCTAGAGGTCCCTTCCAACCTCAACCATTCTGTGATTCCACCATAATACTAAAGAGCTGCTTCCCTCCCTCTAAAGTGCCTGCTGACAAAGAACATGCCTTCTCTGCAGGCCTCAGAGCCAGGAGGCATAGACCTGTGCAGGGAGAGCACACCAGCCCTGCAAGCACATGGGGTTATGTTCTGGGATGCTCAACTGCATTGGGATGGATAATCTGGCTGCTGTTATTGCAAACCTGTTTGGAACGTTTCAGGCTGCCCTCTTCTGCTGGAGACAGATAGGCTGAAACCTGCCAGGGAAAAGCTCTGGGGGGAAAGGGGCGCATTTATTGTCCGAGACAAATGCCAAGGCTGTAGGAGGAGACAAACCTTCCCCCAAGTCTCCCAGCCATGACAGGAGGAGGAGAAAGAAGACAGCGCTTTACAGGGCAGGCTACACCCAGTCTTTGCACCATGGGTGACCCTCAGAGACACAGGCGCCTGCATCTGGGAGGAGGGACTGAACCCACTGTGTTTGTGGTTCCTCTAGTTGCAGGCTTTAGCCTCTGAGTTGAAGGCGGGTTTCACAGAAGCAATGCAGGAGCTGTCACGAATCCAGCATGGCGAGTATGCCCTGGAGGAGAAAGTCAAGAGCTGCCGCTGTGCCATGGAGGAGAAAGTGGCTGAGATGAAGAACTCCCTCAATACGTTCAAGGTAGGAGTGCGGCTGGCTGGGGGGCCACTCTGGCAGCACAGAGCAGCTCTCCTTGGTGGATCCTTCCTGCTTGAGAAGGAAATTAATTGCTAGATAGTTGCCCATGTGGTTAATGTAGTTCCTTTGGCTTTGGATTCCCTCTGCAGAGACCTGAGACTCTCACCCAAATGTAACTGTGACCCGTTTGGAGCCCCAAGGCAGGGCCACCTGCTGCCTCTGGCACAGGGGCCTGCGCTGAGGACTGCACATGTGACACAGAGGCCGCACAGGAGCCRGCTGCTGTGCCCCTGTGCCATATGGCTGCCTGGGTCAGGTCGAGGAACTTCCTGCAGGAACCAAAGCTGCTGGTGGGCAGAGAATGAACACAAAACCTCAAGGCMTTTTGAAGTTGCCTTCCCACATGGCTGGGAGGAAGCATTGCCTGGCTTTATCTGACCCAAGAGGCTAAAAATACAGGGCTGCAGAGAGCCTCGTGAGAGGGCTTGGYGTGCACTTCAGCCAGCGGCCCCCTGCAGAAACTGGAGATTGCCTGTGAGGAGCCTGGCAGAGGAACTACTTTGTTGTTTTTCTTTATCAGTGGTAAATTTTCCCCAAGAGGTTTTGCTGTCTCAGTAATACCTTGTGAAGATTAAGAGGGCTATTTCTCCAAAAAGACTGTTATCACAGTGCAGGGCTACCAGGATGATCAGGGGCCTGGAACATCTGCYCTAKGAGCAAAGGCTGAGAGAGCTGGGTCTGTTCAGCCTRGAGAAGAGRAGGCTGAGGGGGGACCTGATCACTGTGTACAAACACCTCAAGGGAGGGAGTGAGGAGGAGGGGGCGGCCTCTTTTCAGTGGTGGCCAGCGATAGGACTAGAGGAAATGGCCACAAACTGAGGCACCAAAAGTTCCACAGGAACTTGAGAAAACATTTCTTGACAGTGAGGGTGACAGAGCCCTGGAACAGGCTCCCCAGGGAGGTTGTGGAGTCTCCTTCTCTGAAGGTCTCCAAACCCGCTTGGATGCCGCCCTGTGCCCYGTGCTCTGGGTGACCCTGTGTGTGCAGGGGGTTGGACTAGATGATCTCTAGAGATCCCTTCCAACCTTAACGACTCTGTGATTCTATGAAAACACCTCTCCTGCAATTTACAGGAGACCTTCTGCAGACAATTTACTCTTCTCCATTCTTCTAGCGATGAAACCTGCAGGAGCACAATGTGTCAGAGAGCTCTATGGCTGTGCTGAATCTGTTGAAACTGCCTGAGAGCCATTGAGGGAAGATGTGCTGGCAGTGAGCACCATGCAGGGGGAGGTGACACCAGGCCTAGTTTCCTAGCTAAAAAGACAGCCTCAGGGCCTGACTTATACATGAGTGATCACACTGGGATCGGAGCCAACAAGTGTAATGTGTGAATGCAGTGACATTGTGAACCTTGTGCTTTTGCTTTTGTTCAGGAGGAGCTCAGCGATGCAAAGTCAATGATTGAAGAAATCAGTGCCAAGCAGGAGGAAATGCAACAAAAAATTGAGCAGCTGCAGCAAGAGAAGCGTCGGGAATCACGGAAAGTGAAAGCAAAGTAAGAACCTGAACTTTGGAGCTCTGGAAGGGCTTATTAATATTGGGGTCCATTTTGGTTCATTTCTTTATGGCTGAATTTCTCAGTCTTTTCCCAGCTGGGCATATGCAAACCCTGATTATTAATGGCAGCTCCAGCCTTCAGTTCACCCCAGTCTTTTAGATATATGCACTGAGTGAACACAGCAGAAAAACACTTAATACTCACTGCTTCTTGCAGGGATAATAACTCAGGGATTCTTGCAGCAAAAAAAGTCCTGGTGGCTCCTGGGGAAACCAAGCCCTGCTGAAAYGCACAGACCTACTGGAGATGTGCTGGGGCAGGAATATTTGTGACCATTAAAAGTTGCTCCTTAGCTACCCTACATGACAATGCAGTGGGGCTTCCCCTTCCTTCTCACATTCCCAAGTGTGTAGGATTCCGTGGATACTCAAAGGTGCAGTCATGCTCTGTGTCCTTGTCACCAGCCTTTTTATCCGAGCAGGGACACGTGGAAACATTGCTGGCCACACCGTAAGTGTGAGGAGGCAGAATGCTCATCCCCCTTGGCCCTGATTAACTTGCCTATGAAAATGGAGTTTGGATGAGGGATGAACAACTACGTTGATTGAAACATGCTGCAAATTTAGGCTAACTCCCAAACTAATTAAGCCATTTATTTAGCTACGTTCTGCAAAAGAGCAGACCTGAAATAACATTCTCCTATAACCAAAGCTACTTCCAGGATATTCTTCATAAACTGTATCAAAGTTAGCTCTGTTTCTGGTGTCTACTTGGGTTGTTCTACTTCTGCCTCTGTACTTGTCCTTGCACTGCTGCCTGCCATGGTTGCAGTGCAGCTAAAAGCTTCTTCTGTGACATTCACACTTTCTGTCTCATTCTTTGTGTACAGAAGAGCACAGAAGGATGACCACAGCTCACAGACAGTACCCACACCTCTTCAAGGCAGCCCATTTCGATCCATTAACCTCCCAGACCCTGTGCTCATCAATGAAGATTTCACTAGCCTTTTGCACAACGTGACCTACGAAAAAGGTAGGAGACAGCCACAGTAGGCAAGTCCAGTGTTTTCTTCAGGGAAAAAAATGCAGAAAAGGTTCCTAAGCAGGAAGACACTAGATTTTGCTCAGGTACCAGCAGCATAGAAAGGTGCTGCCTCCAGCAGCACTGCTCCTGCATCTGTGCACACACCTCAGCACTGGGCCTCAGGAAGACGAGCATGGCCTTGGCACTGGCTTGGATGCAGAACACTGTTACCCCACTGTTCCTTGCCTCCTTCAGGAGAAGGGAAGCAGGCTGCATCTTCTCCTTTGTAACATCAGTGGTGGAACTCCCAATGGAAACACCACAAGATACAGATTTGTGTTTGTATGCAAGGGAGAAGACAGGGAAAGAAGGATCATAGGGGACTGGGCTGATATGTGACATCACTGAAGAGATGGCTGCTGCTTTGATAAGAGAACATGGGAACTGGTATATTAGCTGGGGCATAACAGCATGAGGCTGGTACTGCAAATACCCATAGTGGGCTGGCTGGGTCATTTCCCTTTTACTAGCTGTTGAAGGCAATCACATGGGGTTAGGGTTACCTCCTGAGCCAGAGAAACACTTCCATATGTGCTTCCTTGTGAAGGTCAGAATCAAAGGCAACGATCCCAGAGTCTGTCTTTCTGTGTTTAATTTCTTGGGGTTTAAACTTGTCTCTCACCCTCTTGGTGTTTATACAGAAAGATGCTAAAACATCAGCAAAGGTGCAAGAGCAGAGTGAAAGCAATGTGCCATTTTCTACCCTGCTGTGCTCAGCTGGGACCCCACATTTGTTCATCTGTAGGTGCCACTGAAACAAAGACCAGAGATGCAACGGTAAAGAGCAGCTTTTTCCTCAGCAGAACATTTAACAGGAGTTTTCTCAGATCAAAAATGCAAAATGCTAAAAGATCTGACCATTCTGATGGGGTTTGGCAGGAGGAAAACTGTTCTGCTYTACTGCCATCTCCTCTCATTAAGTTTTTCCTTTGTTCTTCAATAGTGTCTGACACGAGGATCATGCCAATGGGAGAAGGGGCTGTGAAAGTCATAGCAGGTCCAGGTAGGAAAATATCCAACTGCTAAAAAACAGAAGGACAATGATTTGCTTTACTGCACTTAAGGACTGCTTGCAGGGAATACATTTCATCACAGTGAGGACTTTCTCTCCACGTGCATTTCTTCCATAGGACTGTATTCTATAGGGACAAAATAAAAATCATTAAGAAATAAGAGAAGGAAGCAGTGAGGTCACACTAAGGATTCTGGCCAAAAAGGAGAAGGCAGATGAGAACAACCACTGAAGGCTTACAGTATTCACTAGATAGAAGCGSTTGTTCTTTCACTGTTCCATCCACTGAAAGAAAAACAAAAACAATGCAAGGTGGTTCACTGCGAACCAAATTCAAACTATTTGTGTTATAGCAATTCTAGCCCTATGGCACTAACATGTCCTCCCCTGCCTTCTCTGTGACTTAACAGCCTCAGGCTACCCATCCTGCTGCTGCATAATCATGTACACTAACAAAAACGATAAGAACCATGACAGTTYATATCCATTGAGAATGGCATTTAAATTCTAATTCCAGTCAGAATTGCTATTTCTACAGTACCTGTTAACTTAAGTTGTATTATCTAGTCCTGAAATGTCCCAAAGCTTTAGAGTGCAGCCATGCCTGGAGTATTTTTTTTTTCTTTTCTAGCAGGTGTATCTACTTTTGCACCCTATTTGCTAAAAAATAAACCAACTGAGTTTGAGAAAACACTGAAAGTGCACCAAACCTTGTTTTGCTGATGTGCTTATCAGCTGCACTCCTGACTGGAGTTGCAAATTAACTCTATGAGGCTATATCACTTGCTAAGGACCAAGAATACTTTGAGCTGCCCTTTCAGTAGGTTACAGGGAACATTTCTGTTGAATGAGACATCACAGTCCACTGCTGCTGTTTGCCATTGCAGGAGCCATAGAGACAGACGAAAGCCTCAAGCCTTCTTTGACAACAGAGGGGCAGTCAAAGGTGCATCTGCCTTCAACAGTGTGGAAGCAGCCCAAGGACACCAAGGACTGGGGAGATGAATATATATCCAAAGAGCAACCAGAGAGAGGGAAAGATATGGGCCAAAGCAGATATAGCTCTGCAGACAACATTATATGTGAACCCTCTTTGGCTGGTAAGGGCAGAAATGGGCAGCCAGAGAGGCTCAGAGCGGTACTCGCTCCTGGTGGGAGCTGGTGATGACCCTTCCCAGATGGAGACAAACAAGMCAAGTTCACCTGCCTAAAGGAAATCCTGCAGGCCTTCGAGTCCCCAGGATCTCTGGCCTTTGTATTGGCTGGTCTAGGCCACCAAATAAGACACCCCAAACACATTGACCTCAGGACACCCATCTTCCATTCCAAGACCCGTCAGGTTCAGAGTCCTGGTCGGGCTGTGGCAATGGAACTGGGGAAGTGGGTGGGAAATGTAGCTTCTCGTGCTGTAGGAAACTGGATGCAAACCCCTGGTATGTGTTGCTTTGCTCATGGTTGGTTGGTTGGTTGGTTGGTTGTTTTTTAAGATCTTTGAAAAAAACTGCAATCCATGAGGGTAAACACCTTTGCTGTAGCATTAGGCTAGAATATCATTTTTGTGGAAAGCTGGCACTCCTTTTATGATTTAATATCAGATCAGGACAAATGCAGTGTAAAATAATGTTCTCTCTCTCTCTCTCTCTCTCTCTTTTTTAACTTAACTATTTCTTCGTGGAAGCCAAAAGGCAGAACATTGCTTTGGAGCTGCTAGAGTCAGAAAGGAAATATGTGATCAATCTTTCCCTAATCCTAAAGATCAAGGCCAGAGTGCAAGGGCCAGATGTGAAAAGGAGCACCAAAGAGAGAAGGTATTTGGTTTAGTTTACTCTTTCTTTAGTCAAGACTTTTTTTTTCTGTTTCATCTCCTCATCTAGTTTATCCATACAGACATATTTAAACGCTTATAAGCTTATAAGCTTATTTCTAGTTGAAAATTGGAGCACTGGAAGCTTTTTGCAGAGACTAAAAACGTTCCTACCTGTTTGCTGAAGTACCAAATCCCTGATAAGCTGTAAATATGCATGATTCAAGACAGTTATTAAGTTTCCTCCCAATAGAGCAATGTGTTTGCTAGGTGCTCACTCTACAGAGTCTTCAGGAAAAAGAAATCATACGTTTTGTTTTGGATCATTTCAACTGTATTTGATATATTTGTTGCACTGAAGAGAGAAGTTTCAAGTTTCTCAGCCACTGAGCCTGCAGGTGCTATGGTCTCTGACCATAGTGCATTYCACACAATGCTCTCTGTCCTGGTCAGAGGCATCCTTGGATACAGGAGGCCTTTTTGGACAGAAGGACATTGTGGGACATTTAGTGCTTGGGTAAATAAGGTCTCGGTTAAACAATGTCACAACAGATACAGTTCCAACTGAAATACTSTGATACTGCCAAGCAAGTTGTCACTTTTTTTCCCCCTGAGAACTTTCTATCTTCTATGCTGAGAACAGCAAAAATAACCCACTGGGGAGAATATCTTTATGTGCAGCCATGACTGCAGTAAAAGTAGTTAGTAATACTAACTACTAATAGTATATAAGGCAAGCCCATGCTGAGCACTTGTGAATAGAAAGTTCAGCAGTAAATGCCCAAGGCTTGGAGATTCAATCCAGTGTTTCTACACAGTGTGACTGGGTCTGATATTGTCTCCCTTCAGTTTCTTTCCCAACTCTTTGCGGTACCTGGTCCAGCAGCATGTCGATTTACTTCACGCTCTACAGGAGAGAGTCTTGAGCTGGCCCCGCCAAGGGATACTAGGAGACATCTTCCTGAAGCTGACAAATGATGAGGTGTGTTACAGGCCTCTCCAGACTCTTCTGCTATGGTACATGACACTGTTCTGGGGTCAGGCAAAACAGGATGACCCACAGGTGGGTCGAGCCCTTGTTGAGGGGTGGGACCTTTCCTGGAAGGATGTCACTTCAATCTTATTTGAGGCTTTTTTTTTTTTTTGAATTTTTAAGTGTCATATAGGTAAAGTTTATTCCTTTCCATACTACTCCAAGCCATCTGCTACTGAGGTTTATACACTGTATTCAACAGCTGAAGCCATTTCAATAAACAGACTTTCTTGTGAAGTCCTGAGCCCTGAGAAGTTAAGACAGCTAGGAGCTCTGCTGTGCTGAAGAGTCGTGCAGGGGATTAAACTGCTTTTTGTTCTGCCTGACTCTGTGGGTAAAAATCTCTCCTAATTTTCCTTCCTTCCCTTCCTTCCCTCTTTCCTTCTTTCTTTTCTAGAACAATTTTCTGGACTACTATGTTGCTTACCTGAGGGACTTGCCAGAATGCATCTCTCTGATCCACGTGGTGATCCTGAAGGAGGTAGACTTCCTTCTGTGTCTTCCGTGTGTGCTTCACAGACACCTAAGGACAGTGTGCATCTCCTGATGTGCCTTCCCACAGCCAGGCATCCCTGCCAGTCCTGGAATCCATTTGTTCCGTTATCAAAAACCAGTTTCCAGAAGATGGCTGATGGTTGTTAGGACCTCAAACTGCTAAAGGCAGCTTTAAACATGGTCACCACTGTGGACAAACACAACTATATCCCTGCTGTGACATGCAACAGTATCTTAGATCAAGCCTCATGGATAGTTCTTCTATGCAGATATTATTGAGACCTTTCCTAGGAAAATAAGAGTGTTTCCTTGAAAACAGAGGATTTATTCAAGCAGGGAAAAGAAAAGCAAGGTTTTAAGTGCTGAACTGTTTCCTCAGACAGACAGCACTCCCTACTGTTCATCTTTAGATATTTGGTCTCACATCCTTGATTCTTGGTTTTAACCGGGAAAGTAAAAAGCCAGAGTAGTTTTAGAGTGCAATAACTAAAGCAACAGTAACTTTCTCGCAAGACATCTTAATTCAGAAGTCTATCTCTTTTTGTTCAATTTATTCTCAGCCTATACTAAGGCCTTCATTCTGAAAAACAGTGTCTGCTTGCGATTTCAATGAAACATAACTATAGCACTTTAAGCATATACTCTTAGTTATTTAGTCTGTGACCCATAGACAATCCCTGGAAGAATTTAATCTGAGATTAGAATTGCTGGTGAAAGAAATTGCAAATACTCCTTCCAGAAGCAAGATGGGGACTTGTCATGTGAAATTGCCACCTGACTATCCCATTCCTATGAATTGCTCTAACTACTTAGGGCAAAGTGCTCACTAAATCCGCAAACTATTTGGAAGTAGACATATCCTTGCAGGTGGGAGTGATTATGATTTGCTTTCTCTTTATCAGGTAGAAGATGAAATTAAATCTGATCTCTACATTCTGTTCTTCCATATAGTCCAGCGAATCCCTGAATACCTTATTCACCTACAGGTAGGGCCCTAGGATGGAAACTGTCTCGCTGAACACTTATGACAATACATGGCTTTCATCTCCAAGCTTTCAGGTCTGTACTGCAGAGGCTGCAGGGCCTCTGGCTACCTTGATGGGAGGCTTTGAAAGGGAAAGGCAGCTGAGAATGCCTTCATTTTTTAACCTGCACCCTGTTTCTGTTTGCCAGTTTTAACACTGAACCTGACAGGACACCAGCCTCTGCCCCCCCGCAAAACAAAAAGCTGTGCTTTGGTTTTGCAAATGGGGAGAACAGGCCAGGGCTTGGGTGCATCTGCTGTGAGCTGAGCTCTTTGTTACAGAGCTGTCCCYTCTCCTAAGCAGTACATACTCCTGCGAGCCAAGAAGGAGCTGCTTCTGGGGGCTTTCCTGTACAGAGCTGCCTGAAAAACAGGCTGTGTTCTAGTCTGCAGGAAGGTTATTTGAATTGCACCTGAAGCACTGCAGACCAGACAAACACCAACAAAGGAGCAAAACCCAGTAAAAATCCAATTTTGGATATAGACTCCACCACTGCACTTCCCACACCCTCAGATTACATTTATGCTGGTTATTGGCATATTTGTACTGGAAGAGCAGCAGACAGGCTCTGTCCAAGTCTCCCAGAAGCTGGTACAGGCTGGGAGAGCTCCCACAGTGCCTAGGCAGTGCTGTGCACGCTCCAGAGAGCCAAGTCCATGATCCTGACAGTACCTACTCCTCAGAAAGGGTCAGGACACCTTCCAAACAGCCTGCTCTTCTCTGTGCCTCAGAATGTCCTGAAGTTCACGGAGCAAGAACACCCTGACTACTACCTGCTGCTCGTGTGTGTGCAGCGTCTCCGGGTCTTCATCTCGCACTACAGCCTCCTCTTTCAGTGCAATGAGGACCTGCTCATACAGAAGCGCAAAAAGCTGAAGAAGTAAGCGCATCACCTTGTTCTCAGTATCACCAGGGAAAGAGGGGTATGAGGACAGCCCAGAAACATGGGGTGTAGGTCCAAGCAAGATCAAGAGCCCTGTTTAACAGCCTGTTGAAGTAAGACGTGGGGTGCGCACCTAGCCTGAGAGTGAGGGAAAATTCAGCTTAACCTTAAACATTGCTGCCATGTGTTTTATTGGAACATTTTCTTCCTTAAACTGATAGCAAAGTCGCTTGCTGCTGGTAGAACATGGGAGGGTTTAGCTGCTTGAGCAGCTGAAGGTCCTGGGAAGTCCAAGCCTGTGGCCTGAAGCCCTTATGGGCTTCACAAGAGATCAAGAGAGGAAAGTGTTACCTATTTTACAGGGGGAGAGAAATGGAGAAAACAAAAGCCTCCCATAAGTTCTTTGAGAGGAATTGTGTCAGAATAGACACTGAACCTAGACTCCACAGTCCTGGTTCAGCCTTCCCTGGTTGTCTTTGCTCCTTGTGATGATTTAACAGGGGCATTAGAACAAAGGAAGAAAGACTGCAGCCATGTGCTGGTTTAGATCAGACTTCAGAGGAGTTTCCCCTCATGGAGGTGGKTAAAGGGCTGGAACAGACTGCCTAGCAGGTACTGCTATCATGATAAGTATTAAGARCAGGATAATTAAGATAATAATTAAGAGCAGATTAAGAGCAGTATCTTTATACTGCTTATGACAGATGAGGTGCAACGAGTCTTACCTTGGGTGGGAAGAGATGCAGGGAAATATTAAGGTCCAGCCCTTTTTTTTTTCTGTGATTCCGCATGCTCGTGCTCATTCCCTGCCTTATTTCTTAGCACGACGATGGATTTCTCCTCCCTCAGGTCATCCCTGGTGAAGCTGTACAAAGGTCTCACCTCCCAGTGCACGAGCCAAGAGGTTTCTCCCACACCAAGTGCAACCTCTATTCGTGACAGCGGGATGCACTCTGAAGAAACCATCCAGTCATTTCCACCAGCACCTTCCTCTGGCACGACAACCCCGTAAGCCTCTTGTCCTAGCACAAGGCTGTTGAAGTAGACAGAAAACCCTCTCTTCTCCCATACTATGCCGGTGACATGAGGCAGTAACAGACTTGTCACCTCCAAGACTTCTCCCCCAGCCATAGGGAGATGAGGTTCTGGCTCCTACCTGCCAAGCTGCCAGTGTCATTATTAACTGCTAAGCTGTCCTACCAGGAAAGCTGAAGTTGAGAAGAGGATTAGAGAAGGAACATGCTAGGCTTGCCTTATTGCAGCACACCAGTGCATGAACCTGGGCTGCTCTTTTTGACATTTTGCACACAAAAAGATTCTTACTTTTAAAACTGCCTAGGCCAGGTACAGGCAAGGGAGAAATGTGGGTTCAGTGACCCTACAGCATTGACTGTGAGTTCCTGGATTCATACCATATAGCAACAGCTCATTAAGAGAAGTTGCTCTTTTTTTTTCCACTGGGAACCAGAAATATTTGATCAATCTGGCAAATGTCTGTCACTTAAAATATATAGAGAAGCACACAGAGAATCACAGAAATACCTGTTGAAAGGGGCTGCAGGAACCAACCTCCTGCTAATAGCAGGACTATTGCCAACATGAGATGAGCCATGACTTTATCCATCCTCCATCTTGAGAAGTCTCTAAGGATGGAGATCCCCACAACTTTCACAATCATCCTAATGAAACTTTTCCTTCTGCTGTTCAACCTGAAATTCCAAAGCCACAACTTGTGACTGTTGTGCTTCAGCCCAAACCACCCAGCATGGGCTAATACATGCAGTTGTCCTGCTCCAAGGTAGAGCTTTCCATGTCTCCTCCTTCAGCATTAGGTTTTTCTTGGCCCAGTTTTCAAGTTGATGATGGCCCCTCTGGACTGAAGTGCTGTTGTTTCTGATGTCATTCACCTCCTGAGCTTAGAGTGATATTCAAATCCTCACATGCTGCACAGGCATTCCCAAGCAGCACAAGTACCAGCTGGTGCCTGCATGCACTGAAATGCATTCACTGAAATGAAGTCAGGATCATACCACAGCACCTACACAGAGTATGAAAAGAGTTAGTGCCTACCCCCAGACCCCCTCCTTTGCAAACAAGAAGGAATGGTTATCCAGATCCCCAGTGCTGAATATAAAAGCATTCCTTCCTCACTCCATCATTAAGTACCGCGTGGATAGCAGTAGTACTTTCTTAGCTAGGGTTTTGTAAGGACAGGGAGCTGCATGCCTAGTGCCCCCCGGTGCAGGATGACTCCCCTACAACTTCCCTGACACATGTAGAGGGTGGCCACTCTCCAGGTTCCCTTGACATTTTACCAGACAGAATCACCTCCCCAGGATGTTATAAAGAGGGTAAGGAAGGTAAAAATCCAGAATACGGATGGACAAGAAAGAGAAGGAGCTGCCAGCCTCTGTTCTTGGTTTCTAGCTGTTAGGCAGTGTAGAACTTGAGTGACCTAAAGTTACCAGACAAGCAGTCCCAYCCCTGCAGCTTCAACCCTGCTAATCCATCTAGAGAACTTAGATTAATGTCAGTTCTGTTAGTGTTCTCCAAGATACTAAAATACTTCTGGGTATTAAAAGCAAGAGGATGTGGAAGTGGGGAGGCTTGCCAGGCTGATTTCTCTGTCATCCTTTTGT